GGGTTTGGATGGTGTGTTCCGCTTGAACATACGTTTGAGGGTGAAATGCGGTACTAAACTTCACTTGAGTACCAAGCCCACTTTGGAAAAACCTCCAAAAATGGGAAGTAAATTGGGCACCTCTATCCGAAATAATCGACAATGGGGCCCCATGCAACCTCACAATCTCTTTTAATGTACAACTTAGCATAATATTCCGTCGAATAAGAAACCTTGACGGGAAGAAAATGGGTTGATTTAGTAAGTCTATCCACAATGACCCAAATGGAGTCATGTTGCCTACGAGTTCGAGGCAAACCTACCAACGAAGTCCTTGGTTCTCGGCTTTGACTTATTGGCAATTTGAGTACCTAGCCACAATTTTTTGCTATGTCTCTTTTCATTCCGTTCCACCAATAAATCTCACGTAAGTCGCGATACATCTTGGTGGCTCTTGGATGGATGGAGTATCGGGACCCATGGGCCCTCCTTTAAGATTGTCTCTCTTAGGCCATCCACATCCGGCACACATAATCTCCCTTGGTGCCTAAGCACCCCATCTTCTCCTTGTTAGAAAATTTCTATTGCTTTGCTGAGAACCGACTCTTTTAGTTCCATCAAAATAGGGTTAAGATGTTGCTTAGACTTCACATCAACAACAATCGATGACTCGGAATTATGACAGACCATGACACCTCCTTTTGGGATATCTTCAAGTCGGACACCCAACCGGGCTAGACTATATACATCACAGGCTAACTCCCTTTTCTCTTCTTCCACATGAGACACACTACCCATAGATACACGACTCAAAGCATCTGCAACTACATTTGCTTTTACGGGGTGGTAAAGGACACTCATATCGTAATCTTTCAAGAGTTCCAACCACCCCCTTTGTTAGAGATTTAATTCTTTTGGGTAAAAACATATTAAAGGCTCTTGTGGTCGGTAAACACATTCACATGTACCCCATAGAGATAGTGTCTCCAAATCTTTAAGGCAAAGACTACGGCCGCTAGCTCAAGGTAATGAGTTGGATAATTCTTCTCATGCACCTTGAGTTTTCTTGAGGCATAAGCTATAACCTTACCATGTTGCGTGAGGACACAACCCAAACCCACTCGGGAAGCATCACAATATACTATAAAACCTTCAGTGCCCTCCGGTAAGGTCAGAACCGGAGCAGAGGTGAGCTTATCTTTTAACAATTGGAAGCTCTTTTCACAAGATTCCGACCATTCGAACTTGGACTTCTTTTGAGTTACGGCTGGTAATGGAGATGCAATAGATGAAAATCCCTCAACAAACCTCCGGTAGTAACCGGCCAAACCCAAAAAGCTTCTGATGTCTAAAGGACTCAAAGGTCTAGGCCAACTTTTGACCGCATCGGTTTTCTTTGGATCAACTTCTATACCCTCACTAGAAATAATGTGACCAAGGAAAGCAACTGATCTTAGCGAAAACTCGCACTTGCTAAACTTAGCATAGAGTTGGTGATCTTTGAGGGCTTGCAATACTATCCTCAAATGATTCATGTGATCATCCTCACTTTTTGAGTATATCAAGATGTCATCAATAAAGACAATAACAAATGACTCTAGAAAATTTCTAAACACACGGTTCATAAGGTCCATGAAAGCCGCCGGGGCATTTGTAAGACCAAAGGACATCACTAAGAACTCAAAATGACCGTATCTTGTTCGGAAGGTTGTTTTCGGAACATCAATACCTCTCACCCTAAGTTGGTGATAACCCGACCTCAAATCAATTTTTGAAAAGTAACTCGCTCCTTGAAGTTGATCAAATAAGTCATCAATCCTAGGGAGTGGATACTTGTTCTTAATGGTCACTTTATTTAATTGTCGGTAATCAATACACATACGAAGAGATCCATCCTTCTTCTTCACAAATAACACCAGTGCACCTCAAGGAGATATACTAGGTTGGATGAAACCCTTATCCAACAAATCCTTGAGTTGAGCTTTTAATTCCTTCAACTCCGCTGGGGCCATCTGGTAAGGAGGGATTGAAATGGGTTGTGTATCTGGCAATAAATCTATGCCAAAATCTATTTCCCGTTCGGGAGGAATCCCGGGTAAGTCATCAGGAAAGACTTCCAGAAAATCCTTCACTACGGGGACCGACTCCAAATGAGGTATCTCGGACTCAAGATCCTTGACCCTCACAATGTGATAGAGACAACCCTTAGAAATCAACTTATAAGCTTTTAGACATGAAATGATCCTTCCCCTAGGGACGGAATTTCCTCCCTTTCATTCTAAAATGGGTTCATTAGGAAATTGAAACTTCACAATTCGGGTCCTACAATCTATGGACGCAAAACAAGCATGAAGCCAATCCATCCCCAATAAAACATCAAAGTCTAACATATCAAGTTCCACCAAATCAACCAAAGTGACTCTATTGGGCAATGATATGGGACAACCCCTATACACTCTTTTAGCAATTATGGAATCACCCACCGGGGTGGAAACCGAAAAGGGTTCATTTAAGACATCGGGAAGCATATCAAATTTCATAGCCACTAAAGGGGTTACAAAAGACAAAGTGGCACCGGGATCCAACAATGCATAAACATTAATTGAAAATGCTTGTAACATACCGGTCACAACATCTGGAGAACTTTCTTGATCACCTCGGGATTGGAGAGCATAGAAGTGATTCCTCTTAGGAGCATCGGGATTTGGGCCACTTGCTTGTGCTTGAGCATTTTCCCTTCCTTGAGCCTTCAGCATAGGGCAGTCCCTCCTCATGTGGCCGCTCTTACCACAACCATAGCAATTACCCGTGCTAACTAGGCACGTGCCTTCATGTTTTCGGCCACACTTTGTACAAATAGGCTTCTCAATATAAGGACCACCACCTTTTGTTTCTTGAAGCTTGGGGGTAGACACTTTACCTTTGTTGACCCTTGGAGTGTTAGGAGGACCTTGGTTGGAAAACCTCTTTTTGAACTTTGGCTTATCTTGGATTTCAAACCTAACCTTAGAAGAATTTCTATCATCGGCCCTTGACCTCTTCAATTCTCTACCAACTTTCTTAAGCTTTTTCTCCTCAATTTATTCGGCATGAACCATAAGACGAGAAATGTCCATGATTGGGATTAGCATAGCCGACCTACATTCATTCACCACAAGATCGGATACTCCCATAACAAATTTGTTCATTGTAGCTCTAGAGTTCGACACCAAAGTAGGAGCATGCTTGGACAATTGAGTGAACTTGAGGCCATACTCCTTCACACTCATACCCCCTTGACGGAGGTTGATGAATTCTTGCATTTTCCTCTCCCTTAGTTCAAAGGGGAAAAACCTATCAAGAAAAGCCATCTTGAATGTAGCCCAACTTATCAGACCCTTTCTAATAGGTCTCCCCTCCTTCCATTGTTCATAGCACACTTGTGCCACATCTTTGTGTTGATAGGCGGCTAACTCCACCATTTCTTGAGAAGACACACCCATAGCCTCTAGAACTTTAAACACTTCGTCAATGAATCCTTGTGAATCTTCTTCCACCTTGGAGCCAAAGAAAGTAGGGGGATTCATCCTTGTGAAATCCCTTATCCTAGAAGCAGTAGTGCTAGTATTGTGGTTCACTTGCACCCTAGCATCCCTAGCAACTTGAGTGGCCAACACTTGAGTCAAATTATGAATAGCCGACCTTATCTCAACATTAAACATAACCCCTTCTTCAATAGGAACTTAATGGTTTTGAGGAGCTTGAGGGGGAACCACCTCATTCACATTCTCCTCACCGGCCCTCCTTGCATTGTTCCTTCTTGTATTCATTGCCTGTAAGCACAAGAGAAGGATTAGAAGAAAAGGATTAGATAGAGTAAAGACTCTTAGGAACGACTATGGAGTAACAAAAGAGTGAAAGTTCCTAAACATCTCGTAGCCTCCCATATATAAGTGTAGCGCACTTCAAACCCATGAACAAGACTCTACTCGATGTGGTATCTTGTGACATGAATCCTACATTATTCTCAACCTTATGCTCTGATACCAAGTTTGTAACGACCTGAGAGCACCCCCTATTTGTTACCAGCGTATTCCACCTCTAAGAGGTCTTATACAAGCCCTTAGCATTCATCATAGCATGTATCACAGAATAAAAACACGGAAAATTTAAAACTTTTACTTTGGAAGTTCAACTTCACTTCATATATGAAAAATAGAATCTAACTTCGTCACAATGTACCATCTAGACATAGAAGTACCGAAAATGGGACTTAGCCCTGACATCAATAAGAAGTCTAGAAATAGGAAAGTACAACAATGTCTTTCAACATAAGCAAAGAACTAAACATAAAAGCTAGATCATAGGGTATTTTCCTCGGACTTGAGGACTCACCAACTTGGAGAAGCAACTCCAAGTGTCTTGAGAAGTAAGCTTGAATCCTCAACGGCTCGAACCTAAATGATTGGGGAAAAAGGAGACAATATGGGTTAGTACAACACACGTACTAAGTATGGCTACTACGCATAAAAACCATTGAAACAGGAATAAAAGGTCATTTTAGTCAAAACATGCTTTTTACCAAGTAAATCCAATATGCACACAAAGTAAGCATCATAGTACAAACCAACATAATATCATCCCAACAAGTAAACCCAAGTAATACTAGTGCAATGCAAGGAATAGAATGTCATAACCCTATTCAAAGCCAAGTATCATATTAAGAAACCTACTTCATGCATACATACATAAGATCATACTTCATCATAACTTACCATATGCATAATGATCATACAAAACATACCTTCAACATACATAAGTCATAATCATCATAATCATAAGAGAACACTACTACAACCATCCCTTAGGATCCCACAAGTGCAATGTGGAAGAGAACTCCCATACCCTCCCTTACACAATGAAGAAACCCTTAAGAAAGCCCTAGTAAGAGTTTACACCTTTCATACCTTTATTTAGTTTTACATTAAGGAGATATTTCCATAACCGACATAGACCATGAGAGCTAAATGGAATCCGGTGTTCTACTCCCACACTGAAAAGAAAGGGTTAACACTTGCCTAAGGTGTAACCATTCGTACTTAGCTACCTAGGAAGATCCACTAAGCTAAAGTCCTATGTGGGAACATAGTTAAAGGTCAAGGAGATTGCTCCTAGAAATCCTAACTTACTAAACATGGGGATTTCCATTTCATGAGACAACACATACTGTGGATAATTCGGACTTGCTAAACGTGAGGAAACCCATGTGGGAAGCGAGACTTACTAAATGTGAGACCCCCATCTCATTTACATTCCCTTTCGGTGCTTAGAATCTAATTCCCTTTTGTAATCATCTTTAGTCATCACATAAGTTCACATTAGCCTTTACTAGACTCTTATGTAAACATCTTACCATAATAGCTCATATGTGTTCATAAGTGAGTAACAATCCTTTCACTTTAGAAACACTTAGTAAGTGAGTAACAATCCTTTCACTTTAGAAACACTTAGTAAGTGAGTAACCCTTTCACTCTACATTACACTATAATCATGAGAACTACCTTTCAATCATATAGAAATCATACCATAACATACATATATATTTCATAGCTAATTCAAGTGTAGAGGGTTAAGGATGAGGAAACTAGGTCATCAACATCACAACAACACATTAGGTATAGCAACATTACAATCTAAGTAATTCACCTTTCATACTTGAGTTCAAAGAAGAACCAACCTTCATACCTTCTTTCCTTTCATAGGACATTCATACTTCAATCATTAATCAGCTCATAACCAATACATAATATAAGGTAATTCATGAAGTAATACATAATCAACATCAGTATAAGCAATTGACATATTCCCTTCATAGCCTTCAAGGCTTCATTTAAAGACTCAACCCTAATTTCATAAAACTTATACATAACCTAGGGTAGAATCATCATACAAACATGAATTACATAACATCACATTCGATTCATAGCCTTCACTCAATATCCAACACAAACTAGGGTTAGAATTTGGAAAAGAAGGAGAAACATGGGTCTCATGGGGAATTCTTCAACAAACCACAAATACAACATAAATTCATTCATAATTGTTCATATAACATCAATCAAATTCATTTTATAACATCAATTTTACTTTAGAAAGAAGACCCACGTTTTTGGATTGAAAACCTAGAAATTGGAGATTTTGAAATTCATCTTGAAGGGACCTCTTGGGGAAAGGAATCCCAAGAGTGATAAGAAACCATACCTTTGTTGATTCCTTGAGAATCAATGGAGAACTCCAAGCATTTTGGGAAAGAACCTTGAAACCCTAGCTCCAATGTATTATTCTTCTTCTATGGTTTTTAGAGATACTTTAGAGAGAAGTGGGAGAGTTTTGATTTCAATTGGGTGTTGTGTATAATGACCAAAACTTGTGAATTTAGACTTAAAAACCAATATATAATTAACCTCTAAAATACCCAAAACACCCCTACTTAAATAGAACCTAAAAGGAAAAGTCCCAAAACTCCTCATTTAAATGGTCCCCGTCAGGGACCACGGCCATAATTCACGAACCGTGAAAGTACACCATGGGCTGTGGTACTGCCCGTGGTATTGGAGGCAGTGGCTCCCCTTTCGTGCACAAGCCAACACTTAGCCAAGGCAAGACCACGGAGCCTCCCACGATCCGTGGCCATGACCATGGTCTGTGGTAATGGTCTTGGTCATGACTTGACTTGTAGAGGCAAGGCCTTCAAGCCTTGGTGCCAAGTGATGTTCGCGAGCCACCCCTCTCCCTTGTCAAGTGCACCACAGCCCGTAGTGGTGCCCGTGGTGCCTTGGGCCGTAGCTACCCTAACAACCCCCAACTCCCGAAAAGCTAAAAGAACTCCACGCCCACCTTCACGAGCCGTGAAGTGGACTACAACTCGTGGTCCCTCTCGTGAAGGGTGAGGTAGTGTCTGGGACACTTGGAGGTCCCTCTCCCTAGACCAAGGAAACTCAATGAAGCCTCCCACGGTCCGTGATCATGACCACGAGCCGTGGTGATGGCCATGGAGTTTGAGGCAGTTGCTCCAAATATGGGGCAGCCTTGGCCTTAGGCATTGGCTTGCCCCTTTTGTTTGGCACTCCTCCCTTAGGCCATAACTCATAGACCACCATAGCACACCTAGATGGTCTACTAACTTAGGGGAATTCATTTTATACCTCATTGACACTACGTTTAGGCTCTAGTTCAACTTACGAAATTTTCGGGGTGTTACAAATTAATTCAAATAAAGTGTTTCAAAAAGAGTCCTACTCGAAGTAGGATTTGACTGTCGGACACTTCACTACCACTTCTACGATCGATGAAGGGTTTCACGGTCCGTGAAGTCCTTCGTGGTTTTCACTTGGACTCACCCAAAGCAGGTACTTAAAGACCTATACACTGTATCATCACGACGGACACCACCACGATTCGTGATAATGACCACGATCCGTGTTGTTGTCCATGGTCTTCACTTGATCAATTCCCTTTTCAACTTTACAATGCCCCTACACTGGATTATCACCACGACTCTATCCATAGATTTTTGTGAGGACCACGGTCCGTGAAGTCGTCTGTGGTCTTCACTTGGTTTAATCATCTTTCAGCTCTTTCAACCCAAAGTATTGGTTCAATTCTACGAGCATCTCCACGATCCGTAGTGAAGACCATGGCCCGTGAGGTCGTCTGTGGTCTTTACTTTCTTCAATTAACCTTCACTGAATTCTTTTTCTTTTCTTTCTTCAACACACTTACCATCATTATCAGGCTAACCAACTGCCTCGACCCATTGGATGCATAGTCCACTTCCACCACTATGTACTTCTGCCGATAGGAACTCATAAATGGGCCCATGAAATCAACTCACCACATATCAAACAGCTCCACCTCCAGAATAGGTGCCATGGGTAACTCATGGCACTGAGAGATGACTCAATGCCACTAGGACACATCAAAACTCCTTACTACGTCTATCGCATTCTCATGAATTGTGGGCCAGTAGTACCCACACTGAAGTATCTTGTGCACTATTCGAGCACCTCTATGATGACCACCTACCTGAGAGGAGTGACATGCTTCTAAAATATACAACATCTCAGGTTCAGGGATACATTGCCTGATGATGTTATCAGTACACACCCTGTAAAGATAGGGTTCATCCCAAAAATACTTACCCACATCATGCAGGAAACTCTTCCTTTACTAAAATGCTTGCCCCTCAGGCATCAAATCACTAACAAGAAATATAGCAAAATGAGCTAACCAAGGAATAAGATTAAGAGTTGTAGCCAATACCTGCTCATCCAGGAATGCATCATTGATTTCTTGTTCACATTCCTCTTTATTTTCAGCCTCGAACCTAGACTGGTGATCAGCCACCTGGTTCTCACAACCTTTCCTATCCTTGACTACAAAATCAAACTCCTGAAGAAGTAATACCCATGTGATTAACCTTTGCTTGGCATCTTTATTTTCCATGAGGTACCTCAGAGCTGCATGATCTGTATGGACTATCACTCTAGTACCCAACAAGTAAGCTCTGAATTTTTTGAAACTATACACCACAACCAGTAGTTCCTGTTCAGTAACTGTGTAATTTTGATGTGCTCCATTTAGTGACATACTAACATAGTAAATATGATGGAACATCTTTTTGCGCTTTTGCCCCAACTCAACTCCTAAAGCAATATCACTA